ATTGCGTATTTACTTAGACGTTTTATATATTTGTAGTGACATAGCCACTACAAGCTCCTATTTGCCCTTTTATTAGGAAATATGGCTCTCGGTCAGTTACAGCTGCTGTCTGGGCCCGAGAAATGAGGCCCAAGGCAAAAGCGGAGGGGGACGAGTGAGTTTTGTTGGCGGTTGATGAAATTTCATCAATGAGTGACCCTCACTATGTTTGTATAAAGGCGGCCGTAGTGCCTCTCAATGGATGCTCAAATGTATGAGTATGATAAAAAAGTTCATCCTTAAAGAATGGACAACATCAACTGTGCATAGTACGCTTAACAGCAGGTTAGCAAACTGAGCTTTGAAGGTTAGCTTATAGCTGCATCTGTAGTCTGTAGTTTGAAATGAATCCTTCACCACTTATCCTACTAACGGTCTGGCATGGTGGTCTTCTCATCGTCGCGACTAACTTATTCATTGTCATCGCCATATCATGTATGCAAATAAATAGTTTTTTTTACCTTTCACTGTGCTAATAAAGTTGCACTTCGTAGCCGTATTCAGTTCAAAAATCTAACTGTTCATTTATTTAAAAATTGTGTGACGTTTAATGCTTTACTTGCAAATCGGTTTCGGGAGTTTTCCGTTGTTTATTTGCTTTGCTATATCATCCGAATCCACGGTGTTCCTGTCGCGATATCACAGGAGATAAGGCAGCCGGAAATTTTGGCTTGATATATGGTGATATGCGTCGAGAGAGCAAGATATTTTATGCATATGCCTGTTGTTGCACAAGCAGCTCGTTCTACATCTAAGTAATAGAATTTTGCATTGTAAATTCTTATTTTAAGTTCATTTGAATCTGAACCACCACAGAAGAGATCTTGCAAAACTTCCCAGCTCTCTTTCTTTGATAATGACCATGATCGCTTGCAAAAGTGGTGTGATAAGTGGCTACTGCAGCTCAATTTCCGCAAAGCCAAGTCATCCGCCACGGTCTATTTACAGAAAAATGATACAATTATGAATACTCCATTGGAGGTTACCAACTCAAGCAAGGGAACGAAACAAGTGATCTTAGTGTATGTATGACGCCCACTGTCAAATAATCAACTCCCTGTGCCAAAATGGCAGACGGGGAGCGATCAGAAGATCCTTCCTCTACTTTGATCCCGAGCTTTTTGGGCGCATGTTTTTAACATTTGTCCGGACGATGTTAGAATATTATTTTCAGGCGTAGTGCCCCAGAGGAAACAAGAGTACGCAGCGATGGAGAAAATTCAACGAAGGGCAACCAAATTATTCAGTGGCTTGCAAGGCCTTCCATATGAAGGTCGACTAGAAATGCTCAGACTTTTTCCTCTCTTTTACAGGAAATACAGAGGAGAAATGGTCATGGTTTTCGTCATGGGGGTAGATTGTACCATTCAAATGGCTGATTTCTTTGAATTCGCACAAGCGACACATCTCCGAGCTCCTCCATACAATCTGAAGAAACACCATGCCAACTAGAAGTGCGGGACCACTTCTTCTCCTTCTGGGTCATTGAAGACTGGAATAAACTTCCTTCCTGAGTTGTTCTGGCTTAAGGCGTTGAAACGTTTAAAAGAAGAATTCATAATTCTTTACTTGATTGTCATACATTTGGTAGACAACGAAGATTTATATATTCTACATATTTGGCTCTGAAAAACATGCATGATTTGCCAGAATTTATCGATTAATAGGGTATTCAAAGGCTCTGCCTATCTCCCTTATATATACTGAATTAAATATTAACTTGAATATTTCGCATACCGTTTGCCAAGAGCCTTCGAAGTGACTGTCTATTATCCTAAGATATACTAAGTGTACAAATTCATCATCGTTAATTTGGATACCTTGGATATAGTCCAAAGTGTTTATATTGTTGTCACGAAGTACGACCACACTACTATGCCATTTGCATACTTTTCTTGTGCTGACTGTACGCTTTAGTGGTCCTTTTCGTGCATTTTGAAGAGCGTCCGTTGATGGTAAAATCCAAGGAGTCAAAATGCCCATACCGAAAGAGTTCCCTGATAAATTGAAGCAAATACTGAAAAGCTACACACGAGATGAGGGTATGGAGCACAGAAGAATTATGGAGTCAGAACCTAGGACAAAAAGACAGCGTGACCGTGCACAACACAGTAGGCCAATTCAATCACGGATACAGACGTTAAATCCGACAGCAGATTGGCGTGTAGTGCA